ATAGGGTTAATTAATAACGCGTTAAATCGTCGAAGAGCCGCCTCTATTAACCCAGATCGGTGAAATTTCGGCGAATAGTCGTCGATGAATGCGTGTTTCACGGATCAACCAAACCGCGCGCACGCGAAACAAATCGCCTCGATAGCTGTCATTTTTCTGCAGCTTGATGCTTTCGTTTCTTTTTTTTTATTCTTTCCTTTTTTTTAGCTAGCTCGTCCACCGGCACAGATGCGGCAGTCCATTCTGTTGGAACGTCGGGTGGATGATTCAATTTACCCTCGAGACAGTTTCTTCGGTGTTCGATGCTCCGATCGACCGCGATTATGGAAACTGTTGAAGTGTCAGAAATATGAAAATTGGAAATTTAATATATAGACCGAAGGTCTCCACAAGCTTTTCACTCAATTTTTCAATACAAACTCTCAAATTTTACGATGGGACATTTACACGAAAATTGTTGAGAAAATTCACGAGAACTCTTTCAAATTTTACATTTTCATTCATTTTCGTTAAAATTTTCAATTTTATAAAATTCAGGAGAAGCCCATCGTGCAGGCACAGTTAATTGGAACGAGTGAAAAAGGAAGGACAGGATGATATTTGAAATTGTTGCGTTGCTATGTACAAATTTTACAAAACGAAATTCTACCATGAGAAAATTACAGAGAAATTGTTAATAAAATTCAGGAGAAGTCCACTGTGCAGGCACAGTTAATTGGAACGAGTGAAAAAGGAAGGACAGGATGAAATTTGAAATTGTTGCGTTGCTATAACTGGAGACAGTCTACAGTCTGTACACAGGATATTTCACGGTAAACGATTCACGGGGATGGTGTACCTTTTTCATGGCCGTTAGATGGGAAACAGCACGTTGTCTCCTGCGTCATCGTCACTTTTTCTTTCTTTTACAATGCCTCCTGTCTGCCCGGCAGCAGCAGGATAGCTCGTTAAACGAAACACAAAACCTAATCTTAAAAGCGTCTCTGTGTGTGTGTGTTTGTATCGGCTATCTTAAACGTGTCAATCGTCGACGGGAAAATCTTCCAGAGAGAGAGAGAGAGAGAGAGAGAGAGGGAGAGAGAGATACTCCGACGAAGCGTACTTTTCGGCACGACCAACTGGAGAATTGAATTTAATTAAAATTCGTCGCGAATTAGAGGCGAGAGAAGAGCACAGCGTCTGGCTTGAGAACTATTTTTTAATTCAACCCTTTTGAAAGCTTAATTGCACTCTGTTCCCTCCTCCTTTCCTATTTTTCGCTTCAGCTGTGTCTGGTTTGTGGATTGAAAAAATTCCACCAATCTTTTTTTCCCCTCTCGTTGGCAAAGAGATGAATTCTCGTAGGGCTGTGCAATTCAGCCGTGTGTACGGTGTCGTTTCATGGGAAAAGAACGAACTTCGACGCAATAAAGTTAGTCAATAGTCGGTGGTACCGTGTACGCGTATCATTAGCCGCGTCGTATCAACGTGGTGAAAAGGGAAATCAAGGGAAAGTAAACTCCGATGCGGGGACTGGCCACGCAATGATTACCCAGGGGTTTAATGATTTTTCTTTTTTACCAGAGTATAATCGACCTGTCGAGGGGGGAAACCTTCACCTTACACGCGAGAACTCGAGTTGTCGCTACTCTCCAACTGCTTTTCTTTCCGCTTACTTTCCCTCGTTTTGTCTCTGCCGAAGCATTTTCAGAAGTAAATACTGTTCCATTGTACTTTCAAATATTTTTCGAGTTTCTCGCTGAATGTAAGAGCGATAATTAGACCGCGGATTTTTATGCATTTATAGGAAATTTGAAGGTACAAAAGTGCACTGAATGCACGTAATACGAAAAACTATCGAAATTATAGTGCTTTTGTAATACCTTTTACCAAAGTTCTACTTTCTTTGCTATATTCTCAAAAACATAAATTTGCACCAAAATCCGCAGTCTAGTAACGATAATAGTAACAGAAAGGAACTTAAAGCAGCTCGTCTTCAACGCAACCAAAAACAATGCATCAAAAAATACAGAAAGCCTCAATTTTTCAAAATCGAGCATAAATATAAGTGAAAATCTTCGAGCAATGCGAAGTGATAATAATAACGTCTTTATTAGACACTCTGCACAGGTGTGTAAAAGCGAGACTGAGCCAGACCTGCTATCACGGCTAACTTGCAAAAATTACCGAGTTAAATACGGAAAATCTAGAATAGACAGGTTGACATAAGTTCGAACGCGGAGAAAGGGGTAGGTTTGCGTCCCTCGCGCCTCCGACAACAGGTCAGGGTGTCAAAGGGAACGGGTGCTGCTGGTTAATTAGCGGAATTCGCGTTCAGTGAATTGGCACTCGATCTCTGAATACACCTTTCACGAGAGGTCTGCAAGCCCTTTATCATTGTCTAATTGCCGTGGAGAACAACCCTCGTGCAATTAAACACCCCCTCTCCCTCCGTGTTTTTTCTTCCAAGTTCCAAATAAAGAATTTACTCACGCGTTAGAATTGACAGGCGTTGTTGACGACGTGTTGTTTTACGGCGATTACAAGTGAACGGTTGCAAGGGTCGAAGAGGCGGAAGTGAAGCGAAGAGGATGGACACCGTCGACGATCCGTTTCGACAGAGTTGCACAACGTTTACGGCACGAAGGGCGGCATGCTACTGGCCAAATCAACCCCGTTCCACCCTCTACTCACCCCATTATCAGGTCGACGGCAGCGCCGCTGATAGCCGCCCGGAATCAGTCGAATTCGGGGCCTCCTTCTTTGCTCTTCTGGTTCAGTTTTTTTTCCCTTTTTCACAAATAAAGAAGAAAGCTGGCAACGATTGTCTTCGTTTTATTTTTCACACTCTTTGCATTTCTTTCTCGCCTTTTCTGTGGCATTGAAAGAAATTTTTATAGTTTCGTCTTATCTTTTATTTTCAATTTTTATCTTTCGATGAGCACAGTTATCCCTTCTTTCCTTCCACTTTGTTAAAAGTTCTCACCGTCTTTTCCGTGGCATTGAAAAGGTGAGCAAAGAAATTTTTATCTCTCGATCGTAAAACTCTTCCAAGACGATTAGGTATTTTTCTTTTCCACGAAGTTTGTTTAAATCTGTTATTTAAGGAACGGGTAATCATTTCTCGAGGATTTTTATTCGTTTCGTGTGTTGAGAAGAGGAAGAGAATTTTGAAGGGAGTCGGAGTAATGAAATACGAGGTCCACTTTGTAGCCTCTAAACAGAAATATTAACGCGGTTAGGGTTGAACGAGCTTTTTTAGATAACCGAGGCCGTGCTTAAAAAGGCGCGAGAGTTTTAATATATAATTCATACAGATGCTCTGAATATAGAAAGGCTACTTTAAAGGATGAAACTTCGACGTGATGGTTCCACGGCAATTTAGGAGGCTGCAATCATTTATACATCGATCGCAATCTCTTCCTTCGAAAACCGAGGGAATACACAGAGAACCCTATCATTCTTCCCTCGAAGCTCTATCTAATTGAATCTCTAATTTCCCACTCTAAAGCAATTCAGTTTAGTCATTTTATTAGCCGATTTATCGAAATGCCACTTTTCATATTTGGCAAGAGCGTGTGTCAATCGAATCCCCCCCGAGAAGAATCTGCACATTTCGCGTATCGATTGATTTTCCCTTTTCATTCCACGATTCTTTCCCTTTATTACCACCGTTTCTCATTGTCTCGACTGCCAGTTACGTGTCTGTTCCTTGATCAAAAGTAAATCACGCGCAACGAACGCACAATGCGTGCCGGCACATTATCCTTGCATCCACTAGCCACAGCTGAAATTGAATTTCTCAACACGAAACGAATGCACCGGTATTATGCCTGCCTCTGATCAAATTGAAATGTGAATCTCGCGAATAATATCTCCGTTGATAATCGAAAGCTCGAAACGAACTTCTCCTTCTTCCTCCTTCCTCCTTTCACGATCATCAACTTCGCCGAGAGAAAATTACCAAGACACGCGTGAGTTATATATTGTAGACAATTTCCCCGGGAAATTTCATCGAGACTCGTCCTTCGAGGACGGAATAACTGGCGAGCCACGCTAATAGCTTTCACCATATTTCACCAATGATTCACGATCGTAGCATGTGCTCGAAACGGTATTTCCCGGATCGGAGTAACGATCTTCAATGAAACGATCGGAAATCTTCAGTAAATCATTTCTCGTCGATCACACCGCAACGGTAACAGACAATTTTATCCTGGTTTCGCGAA